ATCCAAGACTTCCTAGGGAGCTTCGTTCAGCCATGCAAAGAATCCTAAATTACCAACGACGAATAAAGTAAGCCGTCTACTTCTCAGCCCAGAGTTCTCGATCCTGATGCAGTTGTTAAAGAAAAAAAACGACGTAGGTGTTACATGACAATACACAATGAAAAAAATGTTCTACAATCTGTAATAAGTATGTAAAGTCACAGCGCACTTACATTGTTTCGTGAAAAGTGATAAATGTTAATTATTGTATGTTTCCTTATACGAGAAAGTATTTGTTTTGTTGTAGAATATCAACACCAAATATGTTGTTAAATGGCCCATTTTGTTAGTTTTTATGTTCATATACAGTTCAAGTTTCGAGGATTATATTTATTGCATTACTCATCTTCAATGGGGTATTTTCGTTTTTAGACAATAAACAGTTTTCATGTAAGAGTGTCTTATGCGTACAAACCTGTTGTACACATGGCTAAAAACAGTAATGGCATTTCAGATGTTGATAGTAAGATCCGGTGGATAACCTGTTTTGCGAGATTAGACGTGGGATTTCCAACACGAACCACCATCTGCTTATTTGAAGCATTAAAAAACTGTAATAATCAACAATTTCAGTTTTCCATTGACAATAATGAAGAATTATGAAGGCGATTCATGTAAGGCACTAGGTAACTTCGCGTTGCTTTTAGAAGAGTATTGTCTGAATAGACAACAGTTACCTTGTGATTCTTCACCGAGCTGCATTTTTCAAGTTGAAAAATCGGGTGCTGAAAGTGATGGATCTATAGATTGTGAGAATTTGCTGCTGCTTCAACTTCTTTTTGTAATAACAATAACAGTCTATATGAAATTTAACAATTCTGTTTCTTCTTTGATTTGAGTCACCCTGTAAATGTAGCTCTACTAAACTATCGGACCGCATTCATAGCCTACAAGAGAAAAAAATCTTCTATACTGGAAAGGAGGAAAAAAAGAATGTATCAACCTGATACATCTGCCCCTCTTTATAACCCGTGAAATAGCCCTAGTTCTAATTAAATTTCAGTTCAAGCTTCCAAATGACTTCCGACAATATTAAAGTAGCCAAAAGATCAGACCAATGATCCACCGCGAAGTAGCCGATGGTCTAGAGCGTCTTTGGAACGTAAGAGTAAACTGCATATGGGAAGCCGATGAAAGTAGTCGCCATGGAGAGGTTTATATATTCGACCATGTATTTAATCAGGAATGTACAAATTCAGATGTATATGGATCTGTAGTAAAACCTTTAGTCGATTCCTTCATGGAAGGTTTCAATGCCACAATATTTGCATATGGCCAAACATCTTCTGGCAAAAACACAACACCATTTTGGGCAATAAAACAGATCCTGGGCTTTTCCAATTAGTATCCAATCAGTTATTCCAGCATGTGGCAGACCAGGTTGATAAGAGGTACTTGATTAGATGCAGTTATATTGAAATCTACAATGAAAAGATCAATGACCTCCTGGATAAGAGCAATCAGGGTTTAACTATAAGAGAAGATATCAAAGGAAATGTGCTGCTTGATGCAAGGGAAGCTGTCGTAGACAATGTTGATAAAGTTATGGAGAACATGATGCAGGGCAATAAGATCAGACGAGTTGCAGCTACTCGCATGAATGAGAGGTCATCTCGATCACACACGATTTTCCGGATTATTCTGGAGTCGAAAGATGCCAATCAGAAGATGGACCTGTACATATAAGCTACCTTAACTTAATGGACTTAGCTGGTTCTGAGAGAGTTTCTCTGACGAAAGCTGCTGGTGAGCGTCTTAAAGAGGGGGCTAACATAAACAAATCTTTGTCAGTATTAGGAAATGTGATAAGGCAACTAAGCGAGGGGAAGGAGTTTATCAGTTATCGCGATTCGAAATTGACTAGACTGCTCTCACAGGCTCTTGGCGGTAATGCCAAATCATTGATTATCGGAATGTTACTTTAGCTGCAGAGGAGACTAGATCTACACCAGAATTCGCCCAAAGCACTAAAACTGTCAAAAATAAACCGAAAGTAAACATCTTGTCAGCTACAGAAGAGACACTTCACGGATATCAGAACTTGACTCGCGATCTCGAAACTCGGCTCAAAAAGCAGGCAATTAAGCTAAAGAGATGGATAAAAGCAAACAAGAGTATCTGCTCGAGATAGAAAGACTAAAAACGGAAGTATCTATTGTCGGCGCTTTCAAAATGGAGCCTCGGCATCAACACCGAAAAAAACATTAAGACGTCATACTTTTGGACACTATGGCAACGTATCACCTAAAAAAGCATCCCTAGGGTATATGCCATTGAAAAATTATCCACCCAAAGAAGAATCATCCGGACGTGAAATGAGGCCTATTCAAGAAGAGACATATGAGGAGGCACTAGCCGAAGCAGAATCTGTGATAGCTGAAGACGTGCAAGTGTACTTAAAAGACAACTCAAAGAACTGGAAGAATCTTTCAATGAGCTTAGAGAATTCACTAAACTAGATAATCAGCTGGAGATTTTGGACCTGAAGAAACAGCTCACAGAAGCCAATTCTAAATTCGATCGTTACAGTCAGGAACTCCGCCAAGTAACGGATGCGTACAAACGAAGAAATAGAAAGAGTTCAAAAAAATTCTCAAAAAGCGCAAGAATTTCATCGACTTGCAATACAGACTCGATTTTCTGGAAAAAAATAATAAAAAGACTAAAAACATACGAGTCAGAAATAGAGATGCTGCGTACTCAACTGAAGAACCTAGGAAGATCAGAGAGCCCTAAACCATCTCTTGAAGCTCAAAATATTGAGTCAAAAAAGAAGGTTGCAGACTTAGAAGCTATGCTTGACGCTGAGTACGAAGATATGCAACATTCTTTAAGTGCTGCTGCACAAACTGATGTAACGATGTCACACATTGCTGAACTGCAAGATGAAATTGGCTTCCTAAAAGAACTTGAATCTAAACTGAGAAATGACGTAAAGAGTCTGATGGACGAGAGTAACCAACGTGAGGTCAACCACTCATTTAAAATCTCAGATATACGATGCCATAATGATTCTACTATAAAAGAGCTTCAGGATCAAATGGCTGAACTGGAATGCCAAAACGAAATCTGGATTATGAAAAAGGACGACGAAATCAGAAAATTGCAACAACTAATTACAAACCCGAAGCAGGCTGGCACTTAACCAGAACCACCTGTGCAGGAAGACGTTGCATTTTATAGGGAGCAAGTTGAGTTCTCCCAGAACATGTACAAAAATGAGATAATAGGTGGAGAGTTACGTATAAACCATAGAGAAAATCTTCAGGCAGTTAAACTAGAAATATGTCTACCCTTGTTTAGTGTTTACGATTATTGCAGGGTTTGGACAAAGTTTAGGGCTGATCCCAGTGCTCACAGTGTACAATTTTCAGCTAATAAATCTTGAATTCTGAGGTAACAAAATCAACTAGAACTCTGAAAAAGTGATTTATCAGAAATCATGCCCTTACTTCCATGATAAGAGGGATTCGTAAAAATTATAAGCAGGTTGTGGCTTATTATCTAGTAAAAGATACAAGAATCCCAGATCTGAAAACGATTATTGTTCATGTGATCACAAACTAGCAGCGACTTGGTTTGTGCGTTGTTGGCACTATTTCTAATCAGGGCGCAACGATCAAAAACGCACTTGAGACGATTTGCTCGGAGAATACTCACGGATCAAGTCCATTCCATTTTATAGTCAATGCTCAGAGTATTTCTACAATTTGTGATGAACCACATTATTCAAAAATGGATGAAATGCTCTTATTGACATTAATATGAAAGTGAAGAAGCTGCACAGATTGAACATGTCTAGAAATCATATAATTTTGATCAGCAAACAAGACCATACAAAGAGCTATGTAAATTGAAACCCAGCCACTTTGATTTTATAGATTCGTTCAAGAATATAGAAATTAATCCTTTAATGATATCGTCGGATGATTCGAGCTTTCTCAGTTATGTGGTGGGGTCCCGTGACTTCTCATACGGTATGAGCACGTATACCTCAAACCACAGTTTAATTTAAACATCACAATTGTTGGTTTGTTGACTTTGCGGTCAATTTGATCCGAGGATGTCAGTTGCGTGTACGATTTGAACTTCCTTCACAATGGATTTTTTCGTTGTTGACGGATGAACAATACACTATAGACTACGCCGAGGACGACGCTGCTATCGATCAACCTGAACAACTTCCTATGGGCGACCTCGCTATGCCTATGGAAAAAACATGTACAATTGGTCAAAACGAGCGCCTGCAACTGGTCGATTATTACGCATTTACCTGAACTAAAGTCCGTGGCAACCAATTTGGAAAATAATAACCCTGTGACTCGAGAAATGCCGATAAATTTCTCCAAATACGTGAAATTTTCGAGACACTCATAGAGAACTGTCGAAATTGTTATATTTCGGGTGAGTCCCCTACAAAATACGAGATGCTCGTGGGCCGATGTCCTTCCTGTGCCTACAAGAAAACTAAACCGAATAAGTATGGACTGATGATGCAAAGACTCACCACTACCTGCTCAATGCTTTCGTCTATACGAACAGAAATATCACAGCAGATGACTGGTTCACGTCAGTAGAATTACATGTAGAATTGCGCATCAACCAACTGACCTATGTCGGCAGGAAGCGTAAAAATAAGTAACAAGTACCCCAACATGTAGTTCCAAATAAGAAGGAAACACAGCCAGGTACTTCTAAGTTTATGTTGTACAGCCTTAGAGTAGTATCTTCCAAAACCAAATACACATGTTCTCGTATAGCAATCTATGCAGCATGATAACAAAATAGTAGAGGAATCAAAGAAACCTGATAAGATCCTATATTATTTTTATAACACTATGAAGGCGGGGGGTAATGCATTAGATCGGAAGTGTGTAAATTACAATACTGGTTAGAGAACGAGAAGATGGCCTTGTGCTATTTGGTATCCAACCAGCTTCTGTAAATTCCTTTTTTTTTCAGTCTGGGACTGAAAGTTCCATTAGGCGACGAAATTTTATTGTTCCCCTGAGGCAAACTCTAATTTAACTTCGTATGAGAGGACGTTTATCAGATCCAAGACTTCCTAGGGAGCTTCGTTCAGCCATGCAAAGAATCCTAAATTACCAACGACGAATAAAGTAAGCCGTCTACTTCTCAGCCCAGAGTTCTCGATCCTGATGCAGTTGTTAAAGAAAAAAAACGACGTAGGTGTTACATGACAATACACAATGAAAAAAATGTTCTACAATCTGTAATAAGTATGTAAAGTCACAGCGCACTTACATTGTTTCGTGAAAAGTGATAAATGTTAATTATTGTATGTTTCCTTATACGAGAAAGTATTTGTTTTTGTTGTAGAATATCAACACCAAATATGTTGTTAAATGGCCCATTTTGTTAGTTTTTTTATGTTCATATTACAGTTCAAGTTTCGAGGATTATATTTATTGCATTACTCATCTTCAATGGGGTATTTTCGTTTTTAGACAATAAACAGTTTTCATGTAAGAGTGTCTTATGCGTACAAACCTGTTGTACACATGGCTAAAAACAGTAATGGCATTTCAGATGTTGATAGTAAGATCCGGTGGATAACCTGTTTTGCGAGATTAGACGTGGGATTTCCAACACGAACACCATCTGTTTATTTGAAGCATTAAAAACTGTAATAATCAACAATTTCAGTTTTCCATTGACAATAATGAAGAATTATGAAGGCGATTCATGTAAGGCACTAGGTAACTTCGCGTTGCTTTTAGAAGAGTATTGTCTGAATAGACAACAGTTACCTTGTGATTCTTCACCGAGCTGCATTTTTCAAGTTGAAAAATCGGGTGCTGAAAGTGATGGATCTATAGATTTGTGAGAATTTGCTGCTGCTTCAACTTCTTTTTGTAATAACAATAACAGTCTATATGAAATTAACAATTCTGTTTCTTCTTTGATTTTGAGTCACCCTGTAAATGTAGCTCTACTAAACTATCGGACCGCATTCATAGCCTACAAGAGAAAAAATCTTCTATACTGGAAAGGAGGAAAAAAAGAATGTATCAACCTGATACATCTGCCCCTCTTTATAACCCGTGAAATAGCCCTAGTTCTAATTAAATTTCAGTTCAAGCTTCCAAAATGACTTCCAACAATATTAAAGTAGCCACAAAGATCAGACCAATGATCCACCGCGAAGTAGCCGATGGTCTAGAGCGTCTTTGGAACGTAAGAGTAAACTGCATATGGGAAGCCGATGAAAGTAGTCGCCATGGAGAGGTTTATATATTCGACCATGTATTTAATCAGGAATGTACAAATTCAGATGTATATGGATCTGTAGTAAAACCTTTAGTCGATTCCTTCATGGAAGGTTTCAATGCCACAATATTTGCATATGGCCAAACATCTTCTGGCAAAACACACACCATTTTGGGCAATAAAACAGATCCTGGGCTTTTCCAATTAGTATCCAATCAGTTATTCCAGCATGTGGCAGACCAGGTTGATAAGAGGTACTTGATTAGATGCAGTTATATTGAAATCTACAATGAAAAGATCAATGACCTCCTGGATAAGAGCAATCAGGGTTTAACTATGAGAAGATATCAAAGGAAATGTGCTGCTTGATGCAAGGGAAGCTGTCGTAGACAATGTTGATAAAGTTATGGAGAACATGATGCAGGGCAATAAGATCAGACGAGTTGCAGCTACTC